GAAGGAAGGAAGGAAGGAAGGAAGGAAGGAAGGAAGGAAGGAAGGAAAGAAGGAAAATTATCTGGTAATTGAGAGAGAACAGCCACCAGAATCTTAATCCAGTGATACAATTAATTGTATTGAATTAACCCAAAGAAGGAGTGATGGTGGCAGAGGGGAGTCGGGAAGTGAAAGTGGGGAGCAAGACTTCCAAGTCCTCTACCCTAACCAGTGAGTCAAGGGGTGGGAGGGCAAGTGCAGCCAGTCCTGGCAGGGTAGCCAGAGTCAACAGGAAGGAGCTAGGTCTCAGTGAGAGCCCGAAAATGGAGGGAGTGAGAAAGGAAAAAGTTTTTAGATGGAAGCAAGTTTATTATGTCAATTATGTTATGTTAATTAATTAATCATGTTAATGAATGTTAGTAATGGAGCAGGCATTCCAAAATGTATGAGGGTGTGACTAAGATCTGGGGTAGAAAACTGAAGGGGATGAACTTAGGGGAAAGAAGAAAAAAAGAAAACAAACATTTAAGTCCCTACTATGTGCCAGGTACTGTGCTAAACTGCCTTATAAACATTATCTCATTTAATTCTCACAACTACCCTGAGAGGTAGGTGCTATTATGATCCCCATTTTACAGTTGAGGAAACTGAGGGAACACGCAGTGGGGGTACAGGAATAGAGCCTGGACGACGATAACCAGAGTTTACAAATGGAATTGGAGAGGAGTATGAACAGGCAGTGGAATATGTTAGCCACTGAGGAATCAGTGAGTCCAGGCTCAGTAGCAGTGGCTGGGGAGAGGTCCCATGAGGGAGGTAATTGGGAGCTGCAGAAGCTTTTGGAGTGAGGAAGTTGACATGGTCAGGCCCGTGCCTTAGGATGATTATTTTGACAGTTTTGGGAATAATCTCTGGAGAGGGGAAGCGAAGGAGACCAGAAGTTAGAGACAATAGGGAATTACAGTAGTCTAAGCCAGTGGTGAGAAGTGCTTAAAGTGGGGTGACACAACAGTAATGATGTGGGGAAAAGAGATGGAGGGAAGATGTGTTGCTGGGGCAGAAGCAATGCGCCTTGGCCGCTGGTTAGGGTGGTGAGGGAAAGGGAAATGTTCTCCCTAACAGCCCTCTAGGATAGGCAGCGCAGGATGGAATCCTCCCCAGGAGCACGTGTCTCCTCTCTCTAGGCACCACCATGCTCACCCTTCAGTCACGCTCCTCTGCCAGGGTACCCCATCATGTGACACAACTGGGGTCTCAGTGCCGTGACAACCCTTTCTTTCCTAGGGCTCACCTCCTCCCACAAACTCCCCAGGGGTAAAGGGGATGGCCTTCAGGTTCTCTAGGGAATAGGCACTACGCTCTTCTAAGATCTCTGTATGGTAGGGGGACCTACCACATCTCCTCTAACTCCTCCTACTTCCCCCAAACCCCACAACTGTTTGGGCCAAAGTAAAATACTTCACTTCCTGGCCTTGGGGGGTGGGTGTTGGTGTCAGGGGGCGAGGGGACGACCAGGGCTCAATGTATCTACTCCCCCTCAGTGCCTTCTTCTACTTTCCCCAACCCTCTCCCCTCAAAAACACCTCCGACTTTTAGGTCTACACACCTGACTCTGTCATCTTTCCCCACCCTGTCACCCAACACGTGTCCATCATTTCCAGATTGATGGTGGACGTGGGGAGGCAGATAGGGAGGACAAGGGCAGAGAGTTTCAAAGAGCGCTTTAGCTGCACCAAGGCGATGTCATTTCCGTTGGGGTGAGTGAACTTGTATCTTGGGTGAATGATCACCTGCGTGATCTCTCGCCTCTGACCTTGCCGACCGCTCTTCCTGAGGTCCGTGAAGCCTGCATACACCTCGAAGTAGTCCAGTAAATTCAGGGCCCTGAGGAGTCAAGGAAGGAGAAAGCACAACACCACTACTCGTGTGCGAGTCCAGGGAGTTGTTCAGTAAAATTCCACCCCCTCCAGGGAGCCTTCTCTGACCAGTCCCAGCCCACCACAAACTCTCTTTTCCCTGCCCCCCTAAGACATGGGAGTCACATCTCATATTATTATAACATTATATTACAATATTATATATTATATTAGTATAATGACAACCAAATCCAGCCCGTCCTAAGCTTTCTCTTTGCAAGGCAGCCTGGCTTGGTGGATAGAGTGCCTAACTCACTGGACTTGGGAGTCGGGATGATGTGGGATCAAATCCTGTTTCTGACACTCACTAGCTGTGTGGCCACAGGCAGTCTCTCTGAGCCTCAGTTTCCCTCTCTAGGCTGGATGATCTCTATATGGTCTGTTCAAATTCAAATCTGTGATTTGATGATCCTTCCCTAAACTCCAGTAGCAGACCCTGGCACTTACTCAAACGTTTATTTATTGGTGATCTTCTAGAAAGGGCTTAGACCTGGGTTCAAAACCTCCCTCTTCTCCTGAGTAGCTGTCATACTTAGGCCAGTTTGCTTTTCTTAGCCTCAATTTCCTTGCCTGTGGGATGCTGTCTGTGCACCTTCAACAGGTATGTATGTAGCAATGAACTCTTTAAGCTGCTTATAGGGAGCATATGTGTTATAGATGCACAAGGACCCATTGTAAAAGTAAACTAGTCTTACTTATGTAATCCTAAATCCAGCTTATACTTCTCTAGGGTTTTCAGAATGGCCAGCCATCATTCCAGTCAATCACAATGCAATTTTTGGGGGTAAATTTCTGGTCACGTGTGACTCGTTTGCTGAGAATCCACTGATTGGATGCTGAACCAGAAAAAAATAAGGACCTGGGGGACCTTTTTTAAAAAAATGGAGGCAGTATTTGGTTGACCTTGTCCTGACTAAGCTCTCAGGATGGCTGGAGATAACACAGCCAGGGAAGGGAAGCTCCTTCCCTATGCTGGGGTTCTGGTGCTGTCACTCACATGGCACCTGGGCTTGTGGGGACTTAACCAAGCTGCCTCTGTCTCTTCTTTAGTAGGTCTGCAGTTTCCACAGCAGCAGAAGTTGGCTGGCGATAATGGCAAGCATCAACCAGAGGCTGCATGAAATGCATCAAACATGGAGGCTGCGGCAGCATCTGGACTGGGCTTTCAACAAGAAACGTGAGCATCAGAAAGGCCACCAGCCCTGGAAAGATAAAGCCAGAACTGTCGAATCCAGACAGTGCCCAGAACAGGGATGAAATTTGAAGAGGACAGAAACTGTGTTATGTCCCAACAGGACTTGAATATGGCCTTCCAGTTGATCATGCCAATGGGAATAGGTAAGCTACTGAATTCTGTTCTGGTCATTCTGTAATGTGAACCATGATTTTCCTGTGCTTATCATGGCTTTCCTGGAAGAGAAATAAATCATCTGTCCTGTACCTAATCCATATTTACTCCTTGAATGCCTCTTTAACTCTCCTCCTCCAACATTTTTTGGGGGAAACCTTAGCCTACAGCCAAAAGTAGATTTCTCCTTGGAGTAGCCAGGGGTGGGTGGTGAGTGGTAGGAGCCAGTGAATATGAGAACTGGAGAACCTCCTTCCCCTATTGAGGGCTCAGGCATGAGCCCAGTACACTAGAGTCACAGAATCTGAGGGCTGGGAAAGACTTTAGCAGCAATCTATCAACCCATATCCAAGGGGGAAAAAATCCCCACTAGCACACACCTGACAAACAGTCACCTTGCCTCTGCTTGAAGACTCATTACCTCCTAAGGGAGCATCTTGCTACAGCTGTAATTATTAGGAAGTTGGTTTATTTGGTTGTTTTTCCTTTAATACCAAGCCTACGTTTGCCTCTGAAATTTTCACCCAGGTCATTGTCACGAAGTCACAAAGGAGGAAACCAAGCCTCAGTTAGGCTAGGTAAATGAACAATCGAGGTAACGTAGCTGGAAATTGTTGGAGCTGACATCTGAAACTCTGGTCTCCTGACTGCAAATCCAGCATCCTCCCACAATGCAATGATTCCTCACACACTGCCTTGTAGGTCGTTACACTCACCTATGTGTGTATTGTCTCCCCCAGATGAATTTTAAGTTCTGAGGGGAAGGGGCCATGATGAGATATTTCTTTATAGTTCCTCAGAATTTTTGGTGTAGCAGCTCATCCATGGTAGAGGCCCAACGACTAGCCATGGGTTATCTGACTGATAATCAGAATCTCTCACAAATGTGTATACATATATATATATATATACACATATATATCCTATAATATAATATATTATAGGATATATATTTATTATAGAACACATTATTATTATGGTATATTGTTGATGCTATATATTATATATGATATATATAATCATATGTATAATATACAATAACAATACTTTGAATATATAACAAATGTACACGTGTATAGAGTTTATTTTGACATACTAATATGTCACATATGATACATACTAATATATGATATATACTAATCATATATAACAATATTTTTAATGTATGATAACATATATATCCAGACATATGTAAATATAAAGTGCTTTCTACATTTCAAAGCTCCTTCTGAGGCATTGTCCCATCTGTCCCACAGAATACTGACAAGGCACAGGCAAAAACCCTGGTTTGTGACATTGAGTAAGTGACTCTGATGTCCCAGGGCCTGTTTCCCCTTTTATAAAATGTGAGGGCTGGATTAGTGGATCTCGAAGGCCCTTGCCAGCTCTAAAGTTCATTATCATTATTTTACGCAAGAAGAAATGGAGGTGATAATAAGTGACATTTCTTTAAGATGTTAAGTTTGCCAAGCAATTTAGATGAATGATTGCATTTGATATTCAGAATGATATTTTGAATTGGGTATTATTTATCATCTCCATTTTACAGAGCAGGAAACTGAAGTTAGGAAAGGGGCTGGCCATTGCCCTGGCCATGTAGCTGGTGATTTCCAGAGGAGTGATTTCTTCCTAAGTTACTGTACTATGGAGGACCCCACCATCCTCCCAGGTACTCATCCTCGACCCCTTATTCTCTCTCACTCGCCATATCCAATCTGTCACTAAAGCCTGTTGATTTTGCCTTTGTAACAACATTCATATATTCCCCCTTCTCTCCCCTGACACTGCAGGGCAACCATCCCCCCCAGGCCCTTATCACTTCCCACCTGGGAGTTGAAATAAACTGCTGGTTGGGCTTCTTATAACAAGTCGCTCTCCATCCCCCATTCAACTGTCAAAGTAAGCTTCCTAACGCACAGATCTAAGCCCATCACCCCTACTCTGTAAACCCCAGTGGCTCCCTATCACCTCGAAGATGAAACACAAAATCGTCTGACATTCAGACCCTTTCATGACCTGGGCCCTTCCTACTTTTCCAGTCTTCTTATACCTTACCCCCTTCCCCCACCCCACATACTCTTCCATCCAGGGAGGATGGCCTCATTGTAGGTCCTCCAACAAGACACTCCATCTTCTGCATCTGATTTTTCACCGACTGTCCCTATGCTTGGAATTCTTTCCTTCCTGATCTTCATCATTTGGCTTCCTTGGCTTCCATGAAGTCCTAGCTAAAATTCTACCACCCACAGGAAGTCTTTTCTGACTTCCCCTTAACTCTAGTGCCTTCTCTCTTTTAATTATTTCCCATCTATGCTGTACGTATCTTGTTTATACATAGTTGTTCGCATGTTATCTTCCCCCATTAGACTGTAAGCTCCTTGAGGACAGGCACTGTCTTTTACCTCTATTTCTAGCGCTTAGCACAGTACCTGGTGCATGTTGTTGTTCATCCGTGTCCAACTCTGCATGGAGTTTTCTTGGCAAAGATACTGGAGTGGTTTGTCATTTCCTTCTCCAGTGGATTAAGGCAAACAGAGGGTAAGTGACTTGCCCAGAGACACACAGCTAGTACGTGTCTGAGGTCAGATTTGAAGTCAGATCTTCCTGACTCCAGGCTGAGCTCTCTATCCACTGTGCCACCTTGCTGTCTCTGGCCTAGCACATAGTAGGCACTTAATAAATGCTTATTGACTGACTAACTTGATGTCCAGCACTCTCTAGACACTACAACACATTTTCTCTTCAGGGACAGATAAAGGGGTCAAGTGGCTTGCCTGAGGTCACACAGAGTCAGCTGGGGGAGTCAGCTCTTTTGATTACAGATACAAGATTCATTTCATTCAGAAAACTGGATTCTCTTAAATTCAACAAATGCAATGTTTCCTTCTCAGCAGAGCTGGGGAGTAGCAGAAACTCCTCCCAGACACTGTTTTTTTAAATTTTATAGCTGTTGTCTATTTTTCTATCATCTACACAAAAAAAAAGTCTATTCCTCTACCCTCTTCCTCCCAGAGTCATCCCTTTTTAACAAAGAATAAAAGAGGGGAAAAATGTTTTATCAAAACTAATCAACCTATCAACCACTGTCAGTTGAAATGAGAAGGAAGCCATATATATATTGGTATTTGTATGTCTGGCCATATACCCACCCTGGGCAGAAAGTTGGGTAAGATGATTATTCTTAAGGATTCTATATGGCAATTACTTCCAACAAGAACCTAAACTAGGAAATTGGGTGCCCAGGGCAAGCAGCACATAAGGTGCCCTGGGTTGAGGAATAGGAGGAGAAAGAGCTGGCCACCGCCCCATGGGAGGTGTGGACAAACCCCAGGAGACTGGCTCCAGCCTGCTACAGGAGAGGCCAGGTCAAAGAGGAAGGGGTGTGGCAGCGAGATGGGGGGGAGGTGGGGTGGAGACCGTCAAACACCTGGTCTGAGTCAGCTGTTGACAATCATAGATAAGTGGGCTCCATTTGTCGTCATTGCCTTCCCGGCTCCAAGATGACAAAGGATTGTTTGCCTCTCATATACAATCAACAACCAAGTTCTGTTCATTCCTTCTCTCTCCCACCCATTCTCTCCTCTCTGATACAATGGATGGAAAGAACGTTTCAGTTATAGAGTCAAAGGACCTCAGTTTTAATCACTTACTACCTGAATAACCTTGGGAAAGTCATCTAACTCTAGAGGCCTCAGTTTATCCATCTGTAAAATGACTAGATTGGACTAGATGTCCTCTGAGGTCCTTTCTATCTCTAAGTATATGGCCCTATGAAGTACAAACACTAATCCCACCCTCATATAAACCCCCATCACCATCCACTTGGATTATTTCAGCTACCTCTAATCAAGTCTTCCTGCCCCCTCTTTCTCCCCACTTCAACCTATCATTCATACACTACTGCTAAAGTAATCTTTCTTATACATGGATCTGGTCATGCCATTATTAGGCTTCTTGAGAATTTTCAATGGCCCCCTATTGCCTCCTAAAGAAAAGTCAAATTCCTTTAACTGGCATTCAAGGCCCACCACTTTCTAGTACTGCCAGACTCACTTTACTTCATTCCCCTCCATCTCCAAGGCAGGATAATTTTGGTTTTGTCATTAGGACATGGTGTCTCACATGGTACCTGCAGACACTTGTTCAATGAATAAATGAATTGTATTCTCTTGCCTCTTTGACTTTGCCCAGGCTGTGCCCTACACCTGAAATGCTCTCTCTCCACCTCTTCACCTGCTGAATTCTTCTCATTCTTTAAAGCCAACTCAAATGCTACCTTCTCCACTAAGACTTCCCCGATCCTCTCTGTAGGTAATGAAGTTCCTCCGTCAGGATTCACATGGCACATTTTTTCCCTTCTCTAAAGCATTTTTTCCATGTTAAATAATGTATTCCAGTTATCTATACTTGTGTCTAATCTCCCTACCGAAAACAGAGTCCTTTAAGGACAGAGGCCATATCTTAACTGGACTTTGTTTCTTTTCCAGAAATGAGTAGGTAATTAATAGATGTTTATTGAATGAGCTCGCTCACGGTGTAATAGAGGAAGCCTTGAGATGTGCTGATGTCGGGAGAAAGGGGAGTGCCCTCCCCAGTTTTCACCAGGTCCTTCTCTGGAGGCAGCCACCCTACAGGTGACCACATTCACCTGTCAATGAGTCCAGACCCACTCTGGTGGATGCCAGATTGTTGACCTCCTGTCTCCTAGGCCCTCATCCAACTACACCGCCAGCCTTTCCTGTCCCCATCTGACCTGAAAATGCCGAGTACTCACTGGTCAAAGCAGTGGGCAGCCGTGAGCACCCAGTACTTGCTCAGGATGGAACCTCCACAGATGTGGAAACCCCTGAAGAAAAGGCTCACTTGCCATGGCCATTTCCCTCTGAGGGCATTCTGACCCCCGAGGATCTTCCCTTTTCGAAAAGGCTGTCCACATTCTAATTGGAGAGAGATACAAGGAAAGAGCCGTGGTTATAGAGAGCAGAGAAAATAAACAGGAGTGGGGGGTGGGTAGGGGGCATTGAAAGAGGGAAGGAAAGAGAGAGAGACAGAGAAAACCAGAGAGATCAGAGGCAGCCAGTGAGACACAGGGAAAGGAAGACGAAAAGAGAAACACTTGGGAATCAATCCGAGTATTTATTAAGTGCCCTTATGTGCCAGGCACTGTGTTAAGCACTGGAAATACAAAAAGAGCCAAAGACAGTCCCTGCCCTCAAAGAGTTTATAATCTACTGGGTCGGGGATAGCAAATATAGACAAAGTAAACTACATACAGGATAATAGAGGGAAGGCACTGGAAAGAGTCAATTGATTGATGGACAGTCAGTAAGCATTGATTGAATAACCACTCAGCTCTAGACACCAGCTCCTCCTCATTGGATTGTAAGCTCCCTGAGGGTAGGGACTGCCTGTTTTTGTAGCTCCAATGCTTTAGCACTGTGTCTGACACATAGTAGGCACTTAATAAAGGCTTATTGGACTGAATTGTGGATACAAAGACAAAAATGAAGTAGTCTCTGCCCTCAAGGAGCCTATATTCTTTTGTGAGAGACAACATATATATGATTAAGCATATCTAAACTGTGTCCCAAAAAAGCAGGGTATAATTTCAGGTGTGTGTATGGGGGGGGGCAATAAGTGCTACCGGTGGGACGTTAGGAAAAATTTCAGGTAGAAGGTAGTGCCTGAGCATAGTTTTGAAAGAAGAGATGCTAAGAGGGGATGAGGAAGAGGGATTGTAGTCCTGGTGTGAAGAAACAGCCAGGGCAAAGAGAAAGAGAGAGGAGATGAAATGGGCGTCAACAGGAAAGGGAGAAGAGAGAGAGAAGGAAACAGGAAAGAGAGAAGGAGGGAGAGGAAAAGACAGACAGGAGAGGGGGGAGAGGGAGAGAGAGAGAGAGAGAGAAGGGGGAGGGAGGAAGAGAGAGAGGGAGAGGGAGGGAGGGAGAGGGAGGGAGAGAGAGAGAGAGAGAGAAAAGGAAGGAGGGAGGGAGACAGACAGACAAGGATGAGAGAGAGAGAAAGATGAGGGAGAAGAGAGAGAGAAAAGGAGGGAAAGAGAGAGGAGGAAGGGAGAGAAAGAGAGAAACAAAATAGGAGAGAGGGGGAAAGGGAGAGAAAGAGACACAGAGAAGGGGAGAGAGAGAATGAAGGAGAGGAAAGAGAGGAGAAATAGAAAGGGAGGGAGGGAGAGAGGGAGAGGGAGAGAAAGAATGGGAGAGAGGGGAGGAGAAAGAGAGGGAGAGACAGACAGGTGTATTTAGGAATCGAAGTTGAAAGGAGAGAAGGCATTAGAGACAGGTAAGGAGAGGAATGGAAAAGGAGGAAGAGAAAGGGGTGAGAACTGTCAAGGAGAGAGGAGCTGAGGAGGGGCGCAGAAATGAGGGCGCTGGGCCCATGAGTGGCTTCGGGGGCTGCTGGTCACCGGAGAAGGGGCCCTGTGACAGGCCTTGGACTACCCCAGGCGGCGCCACCTAAGGGACCCTCTGAAGCTCGCCCACCGTCTGTGGCAGGGGAAGGGGCTGATGCCTGCGCTGAGGAAGATTTCAAAACCAAGTTCTCCTACCTGGATTTCTGTCCTGGCAGTAACAACCTGGGAGAAATAAGAGAGAGACGTGAGCTGTAACAGGAGACGGGACAGGAGGGGCCGCGTGGCCACGAGATCCAGGGAAGGGGTAGGGGAAGAGGAGGTAACAGAAGGAAGCGAGATCAGAGGTAAAGTGGGAGGCGGCAAGAAAGGTAACATGACAGGAGGTGAGAGAACCAGTCCTGGGCAGCTGTCTGAGGTTCCAGGGTAAAGAAGTGACCTAATAGGAGGGTTTGAGATCAGGAGGAGGTGAGAGCAGGGGGCAGGGTGAGAGCAGAGGGGAGATGAGAGCAGGGAGGAGGTGAGATCAGAGCAGGGTTAGAGCAGGGAGGAGGTGAGAGCAGGGAGATCAGCAGAAGCCTCACTGGGCAGCAGCAGCAGCAGCCACAGGAGGGGGAGCAGGAGCCCTGGGGCTGCCTGCCGGAATGGCGAAGAGAACCCCATGTTTGGGCCCTCAGTGCGCATACTGTGCTACCAGCTCTGTCTGGGAGTGCCCAGATCCCTCCTAGAGGGCGCCCCCTAGGCCCAGCTCTGAGCACAAGCATGCTCTCACTGGGCCAGCTCATTGCTGTTCATCACATCCCTGAGAGACACCTCCCCCAACCCTCACACACCTCATGCCACCCGCCCCCACTTCCCCTCAAGACCAGGAATCCTACCAGCCTCCCCAGATGTCATTCTCTATCCTGTACCTTCCTGCAGGCCTCAAAACTTCCCTTAGGGTCTGGGGGGGCAGGGAGAACAACACACTTACATCAGAACTTTGGGGAGCCCCCAGGCCATGACACCCAGGCTTCAGAGAAACTTCTGGTCTACTGGAGGAGGCCATACAAGGAAGACCAGATGTTTCTTCTATATAGAGCCCTCTACCCTTGACGCCTCCCTCACCTGGTTGTTGTTATTTGTCCTTTGTTCTCAAAGAGGACCATGACCTCAGGGAGGTGATGCCCTGACTTGCAAGTGAATTGGATTTAAGTGAGGGAGGGCTGTGAAAAGTCACCAGCCTCACTTTCTCCTCCGGAGTCATCTGGGTCCAGTGGCAAGGTGTAGATCAGGACAACTGGAGATGGCCCCCAGAACTAGTGGAGCTTCGTGGGGATTAAGCTTCCAGATTCTATTTCAAGGAGCCCCATTGGGCAGAAATAGCTGCCCTGAGCCCAGTACAACATGGCATCGCAGTCCTCGTGTTCAAATTAGCGATAGATTCACTTTCCAATCTTGTAATGGCTGCACCCAGTTGTTTTGTTGAGCATATGAGATCTCAGATAGATTCTGACACATCCCACAATCAATTCAGTGGTCCTGACTCCAAAGGAGAAAGCCTTTGATGGTCCAGTATGGTTCTCTCCAGATCCCGTATACGTCCTGGTCAGATTCATGGCCACCATCCAGGAATCAGTGTGGATAAAGATCTTATCCAATCCATCCCTGGAGCGTCCCCCATCTAGCAGCCATGCAGCCTGACGTTCAGGCTACGAGGATGATACACCAGGATCCCTACCCCTCAAGGGATATTCCTGTTATGAGGTCAATGGTCACTGATGTTGAGCCTTTCTTGTATTGAGTGAACCCAGCAAAACAGGAGCTGGGTGCTCGTAAGTGAGGCCCTATCAAAATGAGAGGTGAGAAAAGGGTGTGACCAGTTTGTGAGGAGCATTAACACCTAAGAGACCCAGGTGAACTCCAGGATTTTGGAGTGTTTCATTTTCGTTTAATGATGATAGCCTCTTTTGCCCTGCCTATCTTGTTAGAGGGGCCATCTTATATCACTCAACTCCTAATAGGAAACTGGGGACAAAAGATGATGGTGTGACCCTGCATGTTCTATTCAGAAGCAACTAGGGCCTAGTAACCATCGAGCAACTGCTTTTTAATAATGAGCGGCACCTTGGGGAGCTTGCAGTTTCAAAAGCTTAGTGGTCATTTGGCATGGCCAGCCCTAGGCGTTTGCCAAAGCTGTCAATGAACCACTCAGCCCGATCTTTATGGCCATGATAGAGCCAGAGGCGTGCCACACAGTAAGTGCTGAATTGATTTTTGATGTGCATCACCATCTTCTGTGTGTACAATTCCAGTGTATAGCCAGGCACGGAGGAATGTTGATGGAGGGAGGATGCTTAGGGGGCCTGAGCTGAACGTAAAGGAGAAGATAGGGGAATGACTTCCTGATTGGGGGTGCCTGGGGGTTTCCTTTCCAGCTTCCTGGCCCGGACTAGGAGAGCCTGCGGGCATGCCTGGTACCACTAGGGCAAAGATGCATACAAAAAGAATGTACCTATAATGTACCTATAAGAAGCAGAGATGCGCATTGTTTGGGGTGAAGACCAGCGCAGGAGACCTGGGTCATTCTCTGCTATCAGACTGTCAGGGTGCTCTGAGTTCCTGAGTCATTGTGACACCCCAGACACTGACCCACTGAGGAAGCTTTGTCATGAGTGGGAAAACCTCAGAGCAGCTGGAGTCAGGGTACTGGGATGGGTGATTGATCCCTGGTGCAGGGATGGTCACAGGGACTGGGTGCATTGACGGAAGCCACTCTGATCTACTTCTAGTATTCTGACTCAAAGTTTTATAGGAGGGAAGCATTTATCAAGTACCTACTATGTGATAGGTATGCTTTGCAAATATTATCTCATTTGATCCTCATAACAATCCTGTAAAGTAGGTGCTATTTTAAGGGTGAGGAAACTGAGGCAGAGAGTAATTGACTTATCCAGGGTCACATAGTAAGCGTCTGAGGCGGAATTTGAATTCAGGTCTTCGGGACTCCAGGCCCACTGCTCTATGCAGTGTGGTGCCACCTAGCTGCCCTTCAAATCATACCATATGTGTTGTAAATTGCAGGAGAAAGAGGAGGAACTGTCAGAGCAGGAGGGAGGCTGCCAGTCCTGATCTGATTGGATAATCCGCATCAGACCCTGAACCAATGGGATACTACCCACAAAGAGGCAGAGCCAAGGGGAAAGGACAGCAGCTCCCAGAAAGAGAGAGACTGAGGGAGATACAGAGGAGCTAGGCTGACACCCCAGAGTGCCATCTGGTGTTGGGTGGTGAACATGACAGAAAGAGGGTCATCTATGAATGAGTGAAATGATGGACAGATATATGGATGGATGGAAGGATGGGTGGATACTACGTCCCAAACGGCCCTTTGGGACCTCAAACTCTACATGTTCCAAACCAAACTCATCATCTTTCCCAAAACCACTTTCCTCTCTCCCCAGTTTCCCTATTTTTCTGTTGATGGTTCCACCCATTCTGATGTAGTCCCCCTGTCTCAAAATGTCTGAGTTTTCTCCTATTTTCGCTCTCCTTCACCCCCACATTCAATCATTTGCCAAGCCCTGATGATTCAACCTCTGAAATATCTCTTGCCTCTGACCCATCTTTTTTAAGTACTCCTACAACCCTACCTAGAGCCCACCTGACATTGGATTACTATAGCAGGAGCTTCTGGTTTTTGTCTCTCCCCAACCTAGGACATCTTCCTCATGGCTGCCTATATAGTCTTCCCAATGCATGCCTGACCCTATGCCTTCCCTGAAGACTCAAAAGCCTTCAGTGGTTGTAATTGCTACCCCTGCCTTTTTTACATCAGCTGAAGCATAATAAATTCTACTCCAACCCTCCATTTTAACCCTGTATGTGTCTCTCATTCTTATATGCGTTTCTTGTGATTCCTCATTGCCAAAGGATAAAATACAATTTCTTCTGTATGAAATTTAATGTCTCCACAATATAACTTCAACTTACCTTTCTGGTCTTATTCCCTCTTCCTCCTTTCAAGAACTCAATAGCCCCTGATCTCATCCTGCCCATGTGTATTGGTACAGGTTGTTTCTCCCACTCTCTGAAACACATTTCCTCTGCATCTCCATTTATTTGTTTGTTTGTTTGTTTTTTGCCAGACAATAGGGTTAAGTGACTTGCCCAAGGTCACATAGCTAGTGAATGTTATGTGTCTGAGGCCGGATTTGAACTGACTCCAAGGCCGGTGCTCTATCCACTGCACCACCTAGCTGCCCCTACATCTCCATTTATTGAAGCCCCCTTTTTTCTGAGGCCCAGCTCATGTGCCCCTTCTTCTAGAACAACTGCATGCCCACCGACTTTCTATGATCCCCCTTCCTCAAATATTCCCAGAGCATGTTATCTAGATTTCTGTGTTCCCACCATCCCACTCTACTTTGTATTTTATCGATCTGTATATTGTATATAGGATTGTGTATTGTATCTTACAGCCCCATGTTATAAAGAGCATTTTCCACCTTCATATTGCCAGGATCCAGCAGAGAGACTGGCATAGTAGGCAATAAATTTTACCAATTTTAGTTATATATGTGTATATATATATATAATTACATATTACAAATGTATGTAAATTAATATATTATTTTATAAGAATATAGTACATAAATTATTATATGTATATATAAAATATTATATGTGTATATTGTATTATAGGTATATATTGTATATATAAATATTGTATTGTATGTGTATATTATATGTATAATATATTTTCATATAAACATGTAATGTATTTTATGTATGTGTATGTAAATATGTGTAGATATAAAATATATGCGCAAATATATTTGTATATATTTGTATGTGCATATATGTATATATACACATACACTTACATGTACCTATACATATACACATATATGAGGTCTTACTAAAGCTCTGCCCTGGTCCATGATCAAAGCTTGGAGGTGACTCTGGCTTCTTGAAGGCTATGTCAAAAAAACTCACGTTCCAGAAACCTCCACAGATCAAGAAAGGCGCTTGGGTCTGGTGATGGCTTTGGGTCACTCATCGCTTCTCCCAAAATCACCTTAGCCAAATTTGAAGGTGCCTGGAGCTAGGTTGGCCACAGGGCAATGATGCTTTTGGCCGCAGTAACCCTGAAAGTTCATACGTCAAGTTAGAGAGAAGGCTGGTCTCTCTGGCACTGGAGAGAATGGCCACCCAGATGACATTAAATTTTCTTGTAGTTGAAGTTAATACAGGATCGGAGGGTTATGGCTGGAAGAGATGTTGGAGGTCATCCAGTCAAGGGTCATAGATTTAGGATTGGCACGGACCTCAAGGGCCAACCGGTCCAACCCCTTCATTTTACATATGAGGAAACTAAGGCCCAGAGAAGTTTGGTGACCTGCCCAAGGTCACATCACTAGTAAGGAGCAGAGCCAGAATCTGAACCCAGTTTTTCTGCCTCCAGAGCCAGTACCCTTTCCATTCATTCACTTTAAAGAGTGTAATTAATAATTCAATTTTGAAGTCCTGTTATTAATTATAAACAAAAGGATGAGACGACAGATTATCAAAGAAGAAAAATACCTCTGATCCAACCTCCTGTCTACTACAAGGATTAATAACTGAACCAGCCAGCTAATTGACCGATGATTTGGAAACAAGAGGAGAAAACAACTCATTTTTGGCCCAAGTTTAATTTTTTTTACTTTTTGTTCAATGGTTTCATGTCATTGGAGAGGTAGTGTTCATTTCAACCAACATTTATTAAATGCCTACTGTTTGCCTAGCACTGGGCTAAGCACTGAGGAAACACAGACAAAAGGAAGCAATCCCTTTCTTCAAAGAATGTGTGACATTCTACTAGGAAAAAACAACATCATGCAGATAAATAAATAGATATATACCACATACATATGTACGTAGATATAGCCACAAGCATTTATTAAGCACCTACTGTATGTATTAAGCACATACTGTGTGTGCTAGGTTCTGGTGACAAAGACAAAATGGAAAAGATCCATGGCCTAGAAGTAGAAGACCTGGTTACCAATTGCAAATTCTATTACTGGCTGTATGAACATGGGCAAGTCATTTAATTTTCATAAGTCTCAACATCCTCATCTCTAAAATGGGGAAATCTGCACCACCCACCTCAGTGTTATGAGCAAAACTTTTTCCAGACCCTACTGTGCTATAGGAATGAGAGTCATTGCTGTGTGCTTGGACGCGAGATGCCAACTATCGTTGCCGAAGGTAATCACAGAACTCCATGGGTTTTCTCATTGCGACAGTTTAATGGGCTTATCAGTGCTTTTTGTTTTTTTTTCAAACCACTCAAAGACTGTTTCCAGCATCCCAGAACCACAGTGCCATCAGGCGACACCGGCAGAGCAGCACAGGCTGAACAGAGATCTGGGAGGCCGATGCATAGCTTGTTGGTTGGGGAGTTTTTGATACCTCGACAACTTTCCTCACATTTGAAGCTTTTGTTGGTAATAATTTGTGTGATATTTTCTTGGTCTGCTCAATCCAGTCCAGATAATAGGATACTCTAGAGAAAACGCTTGGGGAAACAGGTGGTACACATGCCATGCCCCAGCTTGCGATTCCTACCTGTATCCAGGTCTCTGAAAATTCACAGACAAGTGGACTTCCAGAATCTCCCTGAGGAAGAGAGAGAAATTATTAGTAAGAATGGAAGGTAGCAGGAATTGGGAGAGGGGAAGTGTTTGGTCCAGTCTTGCCCATTCCCAGACAAGGAGAATCACTGACCACAGGATCCTAAAATGTCACAATGGAAGACTCTTTAGACCACAGAAAGTAAGAGCTGTAAGGAATTTTAGAGATCATGCATTCTAAGCCCCTTGTTTTATAGATGGGGAAACTGAGGCTAAGGGTTGGGGATGGTCACTGTCCTGTCCAACATTTTGGTCACTGCAACATAAAGTCTCTTCTAGACTTGACCATGATTGCCTAACAAGATGTTAAACTTGCTGGCATAGACTTCTACCCAAGAGACTCTTTCGTTCATTCATTCATTCAGCATCTGCTATGTACAAATAAGGCAATAAAGGAGTTTGAAGTCTGGATAATCCACAGACCCTGCCCTCAAGGAGTGCCAGGCATTCTCCTCCATGTTTATGTTTCTTTTTCCTTTCTTTCCTCCTCTCCATATTTCTTAGGCACGAATCTGTGCCTCCTTCATAGTTTGGTTCAATCTGTTCTAAGATGGGGAACGAAGTAACAGGAGCATTGACCGACCACAGGAATCTGGAGCCTTGAATCTAGCAAAAGTTCTGGTACTTACTACCCATGTGACCTTGGAAAAGTGGCTTTCTCTCCCTGGGTCTCAGGTTCCTCATATGTAAAGTGAGAATTAGAACTAAGAGATCTGTCAAGAGCCTTCTAGTTCTAAAACCCTGTGGTTCTGAGATTATAGCTCAGAAAGAGGCCAATTTGCAGGTGACAGAGGGGTCCAGGGATGGCTAAGAGCTGGGGAGTAGGGCAAACAAGGAATCATGGCTCTGACCAAAATGGCAAATGCTTTGACCGGATAGGGTTCTGAATTTTGCACCGAGACTGGGGGCCCAGGAAGAATACAGATGATCACTCACCACACAGATTGCCCTTTGATTAATGATGTCCCCTGCACACAGCATGTCCTCCTTGATCTCATATATTACATTACCCTCTATTGGAACGCCATAAAATGAACTGCATGTATGATTGTCAATAACAGGGATGTTAGCCTCTTGGAGATAGATTTCTGCTGGCTGTTGCCCTGTCAACGAGAAGATTTCAAAGTCAGAGCTCTTGGGCCCGGGACTTGTCTGTATTTGCCTGGACAAGGAAATCTAACCTCTTTAGTATGGGCCTTCAAGGTCACTGGCAGCCATGCTGCTTGACCATGTCACCCACCAGTTATATCTCTCAGAGCGGCCCAGCACAAGCCCCTGTTTCAGGTAAGAATATAAGCCAGGTAGGCAGCTAGGTGGTGCAATGGATAAGGCACTGATCCTGTAGTCAGAAAGACCTGAGTTCAAATCTGACCTTGTCCAAGGACACATACTAGCTATGTCACCCTGGACAAATCACTTTACTTCTGCCTGCCTCAGTTTCCTCATATGTAAAATACAGATAACAATAGCCTCCTAAAGTTGTTGTGAGGACCAAATGAGATCATTGAAAAGCACTTAGCACAGTGCCTGACAAATAGTAGACTCTATGTAAATATGATGATGATGATGATGATGATGTAGACTTGTGTTTCTTGGTCTGGTTCCAACTCGGAGATTCTCCATAGACCACGCTTACCTCTCAGAATTCCCTCCCTCCTTTCTACTGCATAACTTTAATGCTTTAAAAACCTATCACCTCTACACATTTCCTCCAGGAAGCTTCTCCAGGTTAATGCCATCTGTCCAGATCCAAACCTAGACATGGAGTTATTTTTTTTTTAATTTTAATTTTTTTTTTTTAGGCAATTGGGGTTAAGTGACTTGCCCAGGGTCACACAGGTAGTAAGTGTCAAGTGTCTGGCCTGAGGCTAGATTTGAACTCAGGTCCTCCTGACTTCAGGGCCGGTGCTGTATGCACTGCGCCCCCTAGCTGCCCCTAGACATGGAGTTTTCAAAGTGGAAGCGAGTTCAAAGATCACCAGGCACAACCAACCCCCTAATTATGTAGGAGGAACCTGTGGACCACCAGAGGGAAATGGCCTCACCCAGGGGTGGGGAACCTGTGGCCTTCTAGGTTCTTAAGTGAGGCCTTTTGACTGAATCCAAATTTTATAGAACAAATTCTTTTATTAAAAGGATTTCCCAACCCTTAGCCTAGCCCATCACTGATAGAGCTCTGGAGTCCCTGAGAGGGCTTTGTCACAAATGCTAACGTTAGGAGGTCCAAGCACCTTGAGGCTTCAGCTGGCTGTGCCTGCACATAAAAGGCTGGGAATTTGGCCAAGTAGGCAAAAGAGACAGTGACCTTTCTCCTTAAGTTTAGTTTTGTCTCCCTAATTTCTCTCCTGAATCATATATGTAAAAGAATGGACCAGTGATTTTCAAATTTTTGGGTCTCCCTTTATACTCCAAGAAATTATTGAGGACCCTTCTTAAAGAATTTTTGTTTATCTTGGCAAGGATACTGGAATGGCATTTTACAGATGAGAAAACTGAGGCAAACTGGGTTAAGTGACTTGCCCAAGGTCACACAGCTAGACACACAAGGTCAAATCTGAGGCCAGATTTGAACTCACAAAGATGGGTCTTCCTGACTCCAGGCCCAGTACTGTATCTCTAAGTGTCACCCAACTGCCCCATTGGGACTTAATTACTATTTAATTACTACTTAGTTATATGAAAGACATGGTTGGACAGAAGTTTCATGTGCAAAAGACCTGGGAGCTTTCATAGATGGAAAACTTAATATGGGTCAAAGAAATGACTCATATTGTGATTGTATTTAGGTCTTGCTATGTTCTCTATGGTCTTTTTTTTTCAGTTCTAATGAGATGGTTGTTTTAATGAAGGGGGGGGGAAGCCGATAGACTTAGGCTGTACAAACAGGAAAAAGAGAGTATCTGAGAACAAGGAGAGCGATCGTCCCACTGTGCTCTGCCCTATCTGGAGCATATCTGTCCGCGCTATATTTGGGGGAAGATGGAGGTAAGGTAGGGTGACTCCACAAGAGAAAGACTAGATGGGAAGTAGAACCGAAATCATGGGACATGAAACTTACCTAAAGGCATTGGGCTTGCTTAGTCTAGAGAAAAGATTTATGAGGGCACAATCACTTTCTATAACAATCTGAAAAGTTATCTTGTGAAAGAAGACTAGACTTGGTCCCAAAGGAGAGAACCAGAAGCAGTTGGGTGGGGGTGCTGTGATATGAGGAGGGAGTTAGTTACAAAAAGTTGTATTTTAATCCAATCTGAAGAAGGCTTTCTTTAGAACCACCCAAAAGTGGAATGGAGTTAGTAAGTTTCTCATTAAGTGGAGGTTTCATGACCACTCACTAGGGGTGTTTTAGGAAGACAATAGAGTGAAAAGTTTTAAGAGAGCCCAGCTCCCCTGTATTCCCATCAAAAAGTAATGAAAATGTCCTCTTTCCTTATTAAAAGAAGAAGCAAGCTTCCGTAAAGACTTCCTTCAACTTGCCCCTCCCACCAAAGAAATGTTTCCCAGAAAAGGAAAGAAACAATCAAAGACAAGTAAACAAAAGAAAAATCTGACATAATGAATTAATAATTGGGAAAAAAGAACTAAAGCAAGGAGTCCAGAAGGAACATAACATGATTGAACATCGGGGCACCAGAAATGAAATCGGACCTCTCATGAGGGACATCAATGTAGATAATAAAAACAGCAAATGAAATAAATAAACGAAATGAACAGAGAACAAAACAAGGTCACAAGAGAATGCAACCACTTGAGAGTGTCCAAAAAGAATAGGCAGAAAATTATGGATTCACTGAAAAATAGAATTCACTGATTGGGGAACAAAGTAATAGAAAAAATGAACAGAAAAAAAAGCTCAAAAACTACCATCCTTTGAAAATACTGTAAGGCTCTTTTTAAAATAAAATGACAGATATGGAAGACAGTGCTTGGAGAAACAGTCTATTTGGCTCCAAGAAAAATGCAAAGAAAGAAAAAGTCTCATCACCATACTTCAGGAAGTTGTACCAAAAAAAATTCCCAGAAATATTGAAATCAAGTAACAGATTACAAATTGATAGAATTCACAGAACATCAATAAAGGATCTGTGCACATAGGCATATCTGCATCTCCAAGGCTACAATGACAAGATGATTTTTTTTTTCAGAAAGCCAAGAAGAAATGTGTCACATGTAAAAGCATGTCAATTCTAACTGCTCAGGATTTTTGCCCAAGCCAAGGAATAATAGAAACAACTAGAATGTGATATAATACAAATCAAGAGAAATTTAACTTAACTCCAAAATCAGCCACCCAACAAAACTGATCATATGTTTTAAGGCAAAACTTTGGTAAGTTAAGAGCCAGCAATAATACCTGAAGTAGAAACACGAATATATGAAACATCAAGAAACCAGCACATCCATGAGGAATAAAATCAAACTCAATAACTGTGACTAGATAACGGTTAATAATCTAAATTCTAAAGAAAGATAACATGATAGTAAGAAGATTACAATACCTATACAATGTACTCACCATAGTGTGAGTCATAGAATAAAGATCACTTTCATTGTTTTAGCAGGCAAAATTTGCTCGAAGATTTAATTTTAAAAACAAACAAACAAACAGGCCAGGGGATCACTGCTTCTTCAGGAAATAGCTCCTCTCCTTTAAAGGATTAAAGTGTATTATATACATCAGTGAGCAGGGGGAAGAAAATTATATTCAAGAGGGGTCAGGGTATCTGTTAAGTCCAGACTTTTCCATAATGTCTAAATTGAGACATCCTGTCATAAAGCAGAGACAGTGAGGCTAGGGCATGAACTTAAGGGTTACCGAATGGTCACTTAGATTAGGCTGGCTTTAACAGCTGGACAATTTCCTAGACACAGGACAATACTTAAGGTTAAAGAGGAGGTAAGGGGAGGTGGGGAGGGTGGTTTACTGGAATACATTCTTCCTTACTTCAAGACTTGAAAAAGATAGTTTTAAAATAGAGGTACTCACACCAAACTGGTTTCTAGAGAAAACAACTCCAGTGTTGGTTTGACCAACAACTATTTTAGTGCAATGACCATAATGGGATAATAAATTAAGAGCACTTTTTTTTTAATTAATAAGAAAATTACACAGACTGGTTTGAGTTAAGAAAGGGAAAAAAGAGGAAGTAAATTGAAGAAAAGAGGAACAAATTGATTATCGTTGTTGCAGAGGAAGAAGGAGGAGGAGAGAAAACCAATGAAGGGAGTAGCATGGGAAGGATATAAAGTCCCAGAGAACAATACTTCCATTTCAAGCAAGGGGGAAGCATTTCCCCTCTAAAAGCTTGGTAAAAATACATAGGCTTTTTTTCCTTCCTTCTACTTCTTTTTTAATGTAAAGTCCTTTTTATTAGTTTTTCAACCCTGCAGGAAAATGCATTTTTACTAAGCTTTGTCATGTACGCTCCATCCCTGGTCAAGGGCCTGTCCTTCCTATATTTTAAGTCATGGTACAGAAATCCAGATCTCATTCTCATGTACCATATTTTTAAACAGTGGTTCACTTCTCAAATTTTCCTCTCACTTCCAAATCCCCTGTTCCACATTATTGGAAACCCCATATCATCCTATAGTCTTCATTTTCCTATAGAAGACTTTATAATACTTCCTGATCTTTCTAGATTCTTTTTGGCAGTTTCATGTAGCCCAACATGACAGGGATAGCAATGGTTAGTAGTCATCAGGTTTGACAAGTTTTGAAAGGTGCTTGTCTTGCCTTGGATACATGTTACAGCAAGACAGTAGACTCCTCTTTCATTAATATCAGATTACATTCCTTTCTTACAAAATAAAATAATATAATAAAGCATGGTAGATGGTAATCCAAAGTTAATAACTATAACCTTTCATGTAAAAGGATTGAAGTCTCTCATAAACAAAAAAAGGATTACTGAATGGAATACTCAACAATATGTTGCCCACAAAAAAAACACATAATGCACAAAAACACATATAGATTTAAAAGTAGAGGGCAAAACAAAATTTACATATGTGAACTTAATGACATAGTGATTAAGTTTATAAAAGCATTTCTTCCCAGCTTGGTTCAGATGCCATCTGAGGATCCATCTAAGCTTTGAAATATCATCATTATTTCCATTACTCTACTCTCCCTCCAAAGATCTGAGATCTCCAGGATCAAATAGAATATCTTTTATCTGGCTTTTAAAGACCTTCCTACCTTCCTACCTTTTCAATGGTCTTACTCTTTAAATTTTCCCTGCCTTTGCCTCTACCTACCCCACCCCTAACATATTCTATGATCCAGTGACCTCTTTTCTCTTCCTCAAACTACTCAGTCCATTTCTCAACTTTTTACTCAGTTCTTAGTCCAGTACTTGGCATATACTAGGTGCTTAATAAATACTTGTTGACTGACTGATTATTTTACCTCACCTGTTTCTGTGAGAGTACCCCAGCCTGTTATCCAGCAAGATTTCCTTTCATAATATAACCCAGGAGCTGGCAGGCAAATAGGGAGGATGTATGGGGAGGAGGCAACTGAAGACTTCAGTTCCAACAGGGCAATGTCACTTTCAAATGGGTGATTCTTTTTAAAGTTTGGGTGACTGAAAATCTTCCTCACTGAGACCTGGAAAGAATGACCATTTTCCTTTTGCAATTTGTTGTTGCCCAGAAAGATTTTATACGCATTTGGATCAGTGGATCTGCAGGGAAAAGAAAGACCTCACGTTACTATTGAATATGTCCAAGCCTTTTGAAATGAATCATCATGTGAGTCATAGAATTTCATAGGTGGAAAGTACATCAGACATTTTCTGGTCCAATCCTACCAAAATCTCAGTTCTATCTCTAGAAGGGATCACCCAGCTTCTAGTTCAAGATCTTCCATGATGGGAAACTCCATAAACCTGCTCTCTCTTCCCTCTTCCAACTGCACGAAGTCTACTCCATTTTGGGATGGTTCCGATTGAAGTTCTTCCTTATGTTAGACAAAACATGCCTCTCTCAAGCACTGGCCCTGGAGTCAGGAAGACCCCTCAGACACATAACACTCACTAGCCGTGGGACTCTGGGCAAGTCACTTAACCCCCAATTGCCTCACCAAAAAAAAAAAAATTGATTTAAAAATCAAAATATGCCTCTCTGAGACTTTCAGCCAACTCTCTTGGTTCTGCCTTCTAGAGCCAAGCAGAAAAAGTCTAGTCATTCTTTTATATAAAAACATTTAAGATATTTGAGGGCAGCCATTACGTCCTCACTAAAACAATGGATCTTCATAGGACACAATGTCCAGGTCCCCTAGTATCATGATGACTTTTCTCTTAACACTCCAGTGTAGCTATAGAGCATGCAGAACTGGACCCAGTATTTCAGATGAGATCTGAATGGAGTACAGGGAGTCCCTTGTTCTGGATGTCAAAGCCCTACTAATGAAAACTTTTTTAAAAAATTGTTATCACATGCTATATGGTTGATTAATTAATATTGAGTTTGCGGCTCACTAACACCCTCAGATGTTTGGCACATGAATTATTATTTAGCCTCATACCACTATCTTGTATTTTTTAATCTGATTTTTCTTAAAACCAAATATTTATCTTTATTCAATTTATCTTTTAAAAAATGTATTGAGGGGCAGTTAGGTGGCACAGTAGATAGAGCACTGGCCCTGGAGTCAGGAGGACCTGCGTTTAAATCTGGCCTCAGACACATGACATTTACTGGCTGTGTGACCTTGGGCAAGTCACTTAACTCCAATTGCCTCACCAAAAAGCAAAAAAAAAAAAAACCAAAAAAACAAGAAAAGAATGTTTTCTGGGGGTTTTTATACCATCATAGTTATCCCCAGTATCTCTCCCTCTGTCAGATCAATTTCATTTCATGAGATTTAGCCCAAAATTCTAGTCTATTAAAATCTTTTTGGATTCTGATTATCTAAGGTATAAGTTATCCCTCTGAGTTTTGCAAAGTTGATAAATAGGCCATGTGCACCTTTAATCAAATGACTGATTTACAAACATGTTAACTATCACAGGACAAAGGGCAATTTCATGGGGACATCCCACAGGAGACAATCTTCCAGGTAGACATCAATCAACTAATAACTACTCTTCGGGTCTAATCTTTCACATTCTGATGCATCTAACTGTATTGTCACTTAGCCCACATTTCTCCATTTTGCTCATCTCTGGCATTTTCCTCATCTACCTGTCTAAGTCACCTTGGCCAAAAAAGGAAATGAAATTAATAGGAGAATAGAGTGCCTTCCATGTGCCAGACACTATGCTGAGTACATTACAAACATTCTCTCATTTGGTCTTCACAACAACCCTACGAGATAGGTGCTATTGTTATCCCTATCTAACAGTTGAAGAAACTGAGGTTAAGTGACATGCCCAGGTTCACACAGTTAGTAAGTGTCTAAGGCAGAATTTGAACTCAGGTCTTCCTAATCCCAGGCCCAGCCCTCTATGCACTGCACCACCTAGCTGCCTCTAAGTTAGAGTGGTATGACTTATTCTTGATGGATTTGTGCAAGCTCTTAGTGATCATAGCCTTCACCTCAAAATGCTCACAAACAAACCCTTTAATAATGATATTTCTAGAATTTTGCTGGAAATTAAAGTTTGTTGGTCTAAATTTCGAAGACTCTCATACCAAAACATAGGATTTCTATTTTCTAAAAATTGATAACTTGGATTTTTACACATCTTTAATTTCTTTATATATCCTTTCTCTCCTCCCCTGCCTAGAGAGTTATCCCAGATAACACAGAATAATAAATAAAGGCAAATTAGCACAACTAGTCAACACATCAGCCAAGTTAGGCAGTATATATGGTGTTCCACATTGATAATTCCCCAGCTCAGCAATAAAGGAAACTTCATATAAGATCCATTTTTTCACTTTTTCTTCAGGACCAGGCTTGATCTTTATAATTACACCATGTTCATCTGGGTTGCAGGGGTCGGGGATGGTGCATTTATTTATTTTTTATGCATTGATACCCTGTCTCTCTCATTGCCATCCCTCCTACCGCATCCACTAAAAACCACAATCAAACAAACATAAACATGTATAGTCCAACAAAACAAATTCCCATCTTGGCTATGCCCAAAAATATATCTCCACATTTTAAGTTCATTGCCTCTCTTGCAGAAAAGTCTTAAGAACTCGTGGACAACATTTCAAAGCTGTTTCCTCTACAATGTTGTCATAATTATATAAATTGTTTTCTTGGTTCTGCTCACTTTGCCCTGCATCCATTCATAAAGATCTTCTCAGTTTCCTCTGAAAATGTCTGTTTCATCATTTCTTATGGCACAATAATATTCCATTATGTTCATATACAATAATTTGTTTAGCCATTCCCCATGGGATAATCCATCAATGTCCAGTTTGGGGCTGCTACAAAAAGAATTGTTAAAAAATATTTATACATTTAGGTTCTTTCCTCCTTTGATTTCTTTGAGGCACAGGTCTAGTATTGATCTAGCTGGGTCAGAGGGTTGGCACAGGTTAGTTGCTTTGGGGGTATAGATCCAAATTGCTTTCCAAAATAGCTGTCACAATTCTCAGCTCCTACAACAGTGTCCTGGTGTGCCTATCTCCCCATGGCCCTTCCAGCATTTGTTATTTTCCTCTTTTGTCATCTTTGTCAATTTGAAGACTTTACGGTAAAACCTCAAAGTTGCCTTAATTTGTATTTTTCTCTTAATGATTTAGAATATTTTTTCAAATGGTTGTTGGATTTCTTCTTTTAAAAAACTGTAAGTTCATATTCTTTAATCATTTATCTATTGGGGAGTGACTCAGTTTTACGAATTCAAATCAGTTCCTTATATATCTGGAATATGAGAACTGTACCAGAGAAATTTGCTGCAAAAAAAAAGTTTCCATTTACCTGTTTCTTTTCTCATTTTAACTACATGAAATTTGCTTGCATAAAAACTTTGAAATTTTATATATTCAATGTTGTCCATTTTATCTTATGTGATCCTCTTCATTGCTATTTGATCATGAGCTCTTCCCCTATCCATATGTCAAAAAGGTATTTTTTTCCTTGTTCCTCTAATTTGTTTCTGATGTAATCTTTTACAATTATACCATGAATATATTTGGTATATGGTATGAAGTGTTAGTCTGAATCTACTCAACTGTTGACCAGTTTTCCCAGAAGTTTTTGCCAAACAGTGAATTTTCCCCTCAGTAATTAGAATACTGGGTTTATCAAATATAAAGCTACTGTGTCTATTTGCTTCTGTATGTTATGTACCTAATCTGTTCCACTGATCAATCTTTCTGCCTTTTTTTAAATTAGTATCAAATCATTTTAATGATTGCTGCTTTGTAGTAGAGTTTGAAATTTGGTACTCTTAGACTCCCTTCCTTCCCACTTTTTGCATTATTGCCCTTGATATTCTTGACCATTTGTTCCTCTATATGAATGTCACTATTATTATTTCTAGCTCTATAAAATATTTTGAGGGTTTGATTGACACAGCACTAAATAAGTAAAATAATTTAGGTAGTTTTGTCATTTTTTATTATATTGACTTTAACTACCCATGAGCAATTAATGTTTCTTCAGTTATTTAGGTGTGTCTTTAATTCTGCAAAGAGTATTTTGTAATTAGATTCATACAGCTCCTGAATGAATCCTCACAGATATATGCTGAAGCATTTTATAACTTCTATAGTTATTTTGAATGAAATTTCTTTTACTAGACTTTCCAGCCATGTTTTGCTGATGACAGGCAGGAATGCTGATGATTTATTTGGATTTCTTTTATATCATGCAACTTTACTCAATTTCTTGCTTTGATTAATTTTTGTTGACTCTTTAGGGTTTTCTCAGTAAATCATCATAGCATCTGAAAAAAATGATCACTTTATTTCCTCTTTGCCTGTGCTTAGTCTCTCAGTTTCTCATCTTATATCTCTTCCTTTCTCAGTCAGACTCATAGAAAAAGTTATCTATACTTTCTTTCTTCTCTCTCTCTCCAATCCTTTGCAATCTGATTTCTGACCTCATCACTCAACTGAAATTGATCTCTCTAAAGTTATTTCCCGAATATCCTTTTGCCACCATCAATCAGCAACTGCTCGTGCTTTAAAGTTCACGCAAGATTTTTCACTTACGTAGATCATGGTCACTGTTATCTAATGCCCCCCAAGTCATTCTCTCTTTCTCAAGGAATTCAATACTTGGTTCACTGTCTTCCTTTTCCACTCAACTCCTGACTTTCTATTAAGAGTCTTCAACTTTGCTTTTGATGGTCTCTCAAGCATCATAACTTCCCATTTTCTCATTTTCTTCTTGTCCCATAACTTATATGTCCACCTTACATAGTTGGTGAGCGACTCTTTGTTCACAGATGATTGTGCATTCAATGCAGCCTCTGAAGCCGAGATGCAACAAAGTATGGATACATTCTCTGCTACGTGTGCTAATTTGGACCTGGCAATTAACACAGAAAAGAGAGGTTCTCCACCAGCCAGCACTGCACTATCCATATGTGGAACTTGGTAACGGCAAATAAAGAAATTTTGAATTCTGCAGATAAGT